CACAAGCAGTATTTTAAATAAAGAAGGTTGAATGGTAACTGAGGGGTTCATTTAGAATGATGTTACCAATGTTAAGCAAGTTCTAAATCTCAAAATCTTGGCCCTGCTTTATACATCATGAGATTTCTGACTAGTATCTTAGCAACTGCTAATCAAATATTATAGCAGAAGAGATGCCTGACCACCCCAATTTGTATGTTCTTTATTTAAAGCATTATATTTCTTGGCTTCTACTGCAGAACCATCTAACATACCAGGTACTCAAAAGATACAGTGAATCATAATATCACTGGGATATATAGATACCCTGGTGCTTTCCAACCATGTTTTCATAATTCTTGTCTTTGGTTTTATAAATTAATACCTTTGAAGTTGAACTTAAAACACCCATAAACTTTGACTGTTTTTAAGATTTTATTTATTTATTTGACAGAGAGAGAGACAGTGAGAGAGGGAACACAAGCAGGGGGAGTGGGAGAGGGAGAAGCAGGCTTCCCGTGGAGCAGGGAGCCTGATGCAGGGCTCGATCCCAGGACCATGGGATCATGACCTGAGCCGAAGGCAGACGCTTAACAACTGAGCCACTCAGGCACCCCAAACTTTGACTTTTATTACAGGAATTCCCTGTATTTAAAAAGAGAAAAGATATGAAGGAATTTAGAGTCAGCAAGAACATGCGATAATCTTCTGTAGGTTTTCTATGGGCAAGTTATGTTTGCTATCATATATAATGACCCCTTACACAGTGGACTCTGCTTGCCATGCTTGTAACCATGGAACTCCACCCTCTCAGCCAGAATTCCAGTCTTGGGTGATTTTCCCCAGGCAAAAGACAACATGTGTGGCTTATTTCCTTTCATAAAAATGGAAATTTGAACTCATAAATAATGGTTTAGGATGTTTATGTACAATTTAGAAGATGCAGTACATTATCCACAATGATGTGGAATCACCAAGAAATTACATGGTTACATTTTAATACCAGGTGTCTGATGTTTGTGTCAAGACTTGGTAGTAGATTTCACCTAATTCAGACAAATTTCAAGCATCTTAGAAAAAGGAGCTTTTTTGTTCTTTGAGATATTTAAAAGGTACTTTTTATAATTTGGTGTCAAAATAAAACTTTACCTGTTTTAATGCAGTATTTTCCAGCTGGTGGTAAATGATATTAGGAAAAAGAGGCGAATACGGTGAAGGAAACAAACATGGCAAAGCCTATGATTAAAATCATAGCTATCCCTTTTTAATTTTACTTGTATTATAAATGATTTTTATACTGAGAAATCATTTACAGGGCTCATTCTGTTTTGGAGACTATTTCTAACATGCGTATTAAAAACATATACATCCCCGCCGGCGATCCCGGCCTTATGCTCTGTCGGGGCGGCTCGCGCCGAGGCCGAGTCACGCGTGGGGCTGTGCCCCGGGGATGCGTGCCCCGGCGGTGGCCCGTGGGACGCCGCGGCGCCGCCCACCGCTGCAAAAAAAAAAATAAAAACATATACATCAAGGCTTCTTACCACATTTTGTAAATTTCAGTGATTCACTCTCTATATATTTGATTTTCTGGTATGTTTCATGGCTCTGTGATGAAAGTAAAGAACTATAAAAATTGGGGTAGTCAGGTGTCTTTTCCTTAAATGATATGTCATCATATCAGGCAGTTTTTGATGAACACTTGTTTAACGATGCATCAAATGGGTACTGTAGAGCTCAGAAAGGGGGACAGCTGGTCTAGAGTGTCTTGGGAAGGAGTCATTGGAGAGAAAACATTGGAACTGTTTTTGGGACGGGTTTGTTAGGGTATCAAGGAAAGAGAGTAATCTAGGTCAGGCATTCCAAAAATGAGAGGGCCCAGGCATGTATGTTCAGGGAAGAGGTAAGTAGTTGATTCTCTTTGAGTTCTGGGTTCATGTTGAGAAGACTTAAGATATGATCAGGAATAGATACTGAGGTCATATTGATGCAGATGACAAATTAGCCTTAAGATGACATTGGCAACAGTGTTTTAGGAAAACCCTTCTGTTCATGGTGTATGGGAGGGACTGGAAGAAGATGAGACGAGAAGCAGACCGTGAGAGAAACTGCATGAGTTGAACTAAGTTGGTGGCTGTCAGATGGATGGGTAGGGACAAACTAATAGAGAGTTGAGAAAGAGTGACTGATGCCCCGGGGAACTAATTCCTGCACCGGTACAAAGGTGAGGGAAGGTAGCCAAAGACCGTTCTGAAGTTTTAAACCTGGAGGCCAGGAAGAATAAGAAACCACTCACAGAAAGAATACAGAAGGAATTACCCATTTTATGGGAAAAGGATTTAGGTCTCAGAATTTAGGGTTGATTTTATCAGAGAAATGTGTGAGTATATTAAGCGTGCAGTCACATAGTTGGAACTGGAGCGTGGGAGAGAAATCGGGACTAAACCACATTATGGTAACAGAAATACGTGTGAAGGCTGCTTTGTAAGTTTGGAACCTAAGGACAAAAGAGGAGGGAGATTATAGAGAATGAGGACCAAAGCAAGATTTTGGTTAAGAAGGTAGAAATAGTATGTGTTTATCAAAAGAAAGGGAGAAGCAAGTGTATAAGAATAGGTAACAAAGTAAGAGGTGATAGTTAAGAGGACTTACTGACACGGAGAAAAAGAACAGTGATGTTGAATTACCTGAGTTTTAAGGATGCTCGTCAGGTAGGCCCTGATCAGTCAATATTTTACTGTACAAGACCATCCATTGATTTCTAGGACAAGAAGTACCTCAGAAGAATTACTGGTTTAGTGTATCTTCATACTTCGGTAGAAACGTATTTCTGTCATACTGATTGGTGTTAAAACCAACACTTGAGTGAAACAAGTGCCTTTGTAGACGTCTTTCTGTGATCCTATCAATTTGAAATTCTGTTCTGGTTTACTAGCCTTCTTTTGATCACAAATTCCCACAAACTTTATTAGCATCAGCGCTAGATCTACCAAGTAATTGAGTGCCAGATCTACAAAGTCATCAAGTCCCTCAGTTGAGTTGTTACTAAAGTTGAGACCCAATTTAATATTCTCCTTGACTCTTGGGCAGTTTGGATGATGTATTAGCAGAGACCGTATTTGTCAATATATTACTTTATCACTGTGCTGAATAATATTCTGGTAGCCTCGTAAACATATATAAAAAAAAGCACTGACCAATCTGTTAATATGTTTTATAGTTTCCCAGGGAAATTTCCTTTGTACAGAAAATTAAATAAGTTCATTTACTGCCACCCATAGCCACTCTCATTGGCAGTTTTTATGCTTTCAGTAAGAGTAGAGTGTCGTGGGCATGAGCCAGGCTCCAGAGTCAACTACACCAGGGTTGAAATCCTGGTCTGTTGTTCTGTAATTATAAGACCGTAGGCTAGTTTCATTTTTTTTTTTTTTCTTAAGACCATATACATAGGTTTACAGCAAAATTGAAGGGAAGGTACAGAGATTTCCCGTTAATTCCTGTACCCACACATGCATATAGGCTAGTTTCTTAAACCTCTAAATCTGTTTCTTCATCCTTAAAATATAGATAGTCACTCTAGCTTCATAGATCGGAAGGTTGAATTAGGATCGTTTTCTAAACATGTCTGATATTTGATAAATATTAAGTAATGTGTATGTGCTCATAACAGACATAATTGGCTTTAAAACTTGGGATAGCATCATGCTCACAGAGTGCTTCATAAATTCTTTTTGATGATAACGTTTAATAGGTCCTCACAACTTTATTGAATGAATAAGCAAGTGAATGAATATACATCTGCAGACAGGAAGGAATAGTTACTGAAACCTGAGTGTCTGCAGAGCTTTTATTTCAGTCATGGGTAGAATTGCTTGCTTACGTGTACTGTAACACTTGGTTATCTTAAAATTTTAAATATGGCAAGTGATTACAGAAATGAATTGATGTGCTTTAATCCCAGGTTGGATATTCTTAGGAACCATGGTGATTTCTCTTCCAGATCTGCTACTTTCTTTCACAACAGTGGGAACTTTTTAGAGCACTTGTCTTAGAAATACAACAGTTGGGGTGCCTGGTTGGCTCAGTCGGTTAAACGTCCGACTGTTGATTTTGGCTTAGGTCGTGATCTCAGGGTCATGAGATCAAGCCCTGTGTCAAGCTCCAAGCTCAGCCTGCCTGAGATTCCCTCCCTCTCCCCCTCCCACCCCTGCTTGCACACCCCCCTTAAATAAGTAAATAAATAAAATCTTAAAAAAAAAAAATACAACAGCTGATTCTAGCCCAAGCCCCATCCTCTGAGGCTGTAAAGTGGATCGATTTTATAAGCATTACCCATTGGCAGTAGTGATTTAAAAAGCTGTTGGTTTTCTTGCTTTGAAGATGAGCAGTGGCCCTAGAAATCATTTGTAGGTTAGCACCTCTTAGCCTGCAGTGGCTCATGATACCTCTTAGCAGGTTTGCTAGAGTTGCTTAATCCCCTTCGCTATTGAGTGAGGGGTGTGACATGGGCTCGAGAGTGAGTCCCCCAGGGTTCATTCCTCAATCCCTAAACCACTTTCTTATCTGTAATCTGAGAATTCATTTGATCAGATGTTGTGCTTTAAATAAGATAATACATCTAAATTAGCCCCTTCCCTACAACATAGTAAGCGCTCAGTAAATATTATGGCATTGCTGCTGATGTTGCTGTAATTGGCAGTTCCGAGGGTCATAAATGTTGATTAACTCACTTGGCATAGTACCTGGCACATAGCAGACCCTCACTAAAAATGTTCCCCTTTACCTCCAAGTTCAAATGCCTAATAACATCCTAGTCTTAGTTTTAGGTATAGATGGCAATTAGACGACTTTCTGGCTTTAATGAATCTTTCCTCAGATCTACAACTAGAAGTCTGAATACCTAGGTTCATATACTTCTGAATGTCAAGGATGAGATTTTAAAATTAGGTTTTCATCATTTTAAATTGCTTTTCTTAGTAGCATGTCATAAATATGTGTATTAAACTGCTTATCTGATTGTACAGATGCTGTTGACTGAGTACTTGGATATGAAAAATACTCGTACGGCCTCTGAACCATCAGCTCAACTAAGTTATGCCAGCACTGGACGAGATTTTGCAGCCTTCTTTGCCAAGAAGAAACCTCAAAGGCCAAAAAATTCTCTTTTTAAGTAAGTATCTCCCTGATGGTAAGATAGCAGGTGTCAAGAAGTGTTTGATCCAAGTAGGGTGGCTTTCTACTTTATTGGCAGCTGGTACTTCACCCAGTTAAAGCTGATTTGAAAAAACTTATAGGAAGTGAATATATTTTTTATTTTGTATACATTTGTTTTCTGGAAAGGGAAGTGGCTATTTTGGATTACGGTTAATGGACTATCTAGGAGTTTTAATAAAAATTTTTAGAATTTATTCCTGTGGTGTTTTATATAAAATGAAGGGAAATGAAGCTTGCCAGTTGTTTCTGGGGACTTCTATATGAAATGAAATATGTCAGCTTTTGAAAAAACCCCAAGTGCCAAGAAATAACCTTGAAGTTTACACAAATCTCCTTAGCTAAGTAGCATTGGATTTTATTTGGTTTAATAAAGGAACAGTCTGGAAGTTCTTTTTTTCTAATTACCATCTTACTTGACAGCACCAGGCCATGTTCCTAAGTGTATGTCATTTGGTAACAGCTAACAGTTAATATTATTCACATTAATAGTGACAACAGCAACAGCTACCACTGAGTGCTTACTAAGTACCAGCTACTGTGGGGAGATGAGTTTCTCAAAATGACCTCAAACATAATTTAATTCAGATTATGTCTGATTTCGGCAGCAGGAGTAGCGGCTAATGCTGAATCCTCTCTAAGTACTAGCGAAAGCATGAAGCCATTTTCATGGATTGTCTCATTTACTCATTACAACCTTATGGGTCGGGGTTTTATTTTTAATCCTTTTTTGCACATAAAAACTTGAGACCCAAGCGAGGTTAAATAACTTAAGTAAATTCACAGAGCTAGCAACTGGTAGAAGCAGGATTTAAGTCTTTGTCAATCGATGTGTTCTTCTGAGGAGTCGGGAGATAACTGGTTAAGCAGTTGTACCTGTAAATCTAAGCATATAAAGTGACTACAGAAGTATTGTCTCTGTATTTTGAATTTGTTATTTTTGAATAGTTGAAGCTCCAGTATCTTTTACTGATTCATTTTTGAGATTTGTTTATATCATAGATTTATAGAGTTCTTAGTCATTATGGAAAGTTTCAACAGTGCATCCATCTTGTGGTCTAGAGGAGACGAGATTGAGTGTGCCTGCATTAGAATAAAATGCATTCTGTGTATTGAATGCATTCTTTTTTTATGCGTTTTACCATTTTGTTCAGAGGATAGACGCACTATTAGTTAAAATGCTTTAGTCCCCAGGTAACATAGGACCCCATTGGAAGGTTCTTACCTCACACAGTAAGGAGGAACATAGAGGAGTCCGTCATTCGACTGCAGTATCCTCCAGGACCCAACCCTTTCATCTCTCTGCCTTCGGTCCCACTCCAGTATAGTGGTGATGCCAAGGAAAGGGTGGGATTCTTCTGCAAATTTTTTTGGGGGGGAATTAATAGACTCTTTTTCATACCACTTTTCAATTTACAGAAAAATCAAGCAGGCAAGATAAAGAGATCTCTTATGTCCTCCTTCCTCAGAATTTCTACTTACGTTAACACCTTGCGTTCGTTCATATGGTACATTTGTTACAACTGATGAACTGATATTGGTCATTATTGACTAAAGTCCATTGTTTACCTTAGAGTTCACTCTTTGTGTTGTACATTCTGGGCGTCTTGGTAAATGCTCACTGTCATATATGCACCATCACGTTATCATACAGAATATTTTTGCTGTCCTCAACATCCTGTTTTCCACTTATTCTTCCCTCTTTTCCGCACCCCCGGAGCCCCTGATAATCACTGTCTCTATAGTTTATCTTTTCCAGAACATCTAACAGTTGGAATCATAGAGTATGTAGCCTTTTCAGACGAGCTTCTTTCACTTAGCAATATGCATTTCATGTCTTTTGTGGCTTGATAGCTCATCTCTTTGTATTGTTAAATAATATTCCATTGTGTGCATGTACCTTGGTTTTTTTCCATTCATCTGTTGAAAGACCTCTTGGTTACTTCCAGTTTCTGGCCATTGTGAATAAAACTGCTGTAAACGTGCAGGTGTTTAGATGTAAGTTTTCTGTTCATTTGGATAAACACCTAAGAGAATGATTACTGCATCATATGGTAGGGTCATGTTTAGCTTTGTGAGACACTGCCAAACTGTCTTACAAAATGGCTATATCATTTCAGATTGGTTTTTTAATTAATAATTGTTATCCATTTATTAATCTTTTCTGCCAGCGACAAAGCCCCTCTGTAAGTTTTCCTCAGGTTTTAGGATTGGGTCTTATGCCCATTCCTAAACCAGTCACTGGCAGACCACAGTGATTGTCTTAAAACAGTCAGGGGTCATCTCTGGTGATAGTCTTGGGCTAGAGAGGAACCACTTTTCCTTAGCACATAGCTGTTTGAAGAGGGAGGAAAGAAGCCGAATGCCCAGATAGAATGGGGGCTCTGCCAACAAACAGGAAAGATAGTGGAAGAAAAAAGGTGGTTAACTAAGATGGCCTGAGATGCTGCCTAATACTTAGGCCTTTGCTTTGCTTGCTTGTTTGCTTGCTTGCTCTCTGGCATGCTTTCTCTTCTCTCTCTCTCTCTTTCTCTTCCCAGCTCAACTCACTGTTGTAAATCAAGGCGTATTGCAGAAAGCAGGTTTCAGTGTGTTGAGATTTCATGCTCTCAACCATCACCCTTAACTTTCAACCTCAGACCACATATACATTTTTCCACATTTAGCCATTCCTGAAATTGTGATACTGAAAAACATATAAATTATTAGAACTGAATAAATGAAGTAATTGTTAAACATTTATTATTACTGCGTAGTAATAAAAACTCATCACCCACACAGAATTAGACCATTCTTACAGATTTGCCTGCTTCTGGTCTTGGTTGTACCATTAATGAACCGTGCGAACCAGAGCAGGTCTCCTGTCATAGTGGGCCTCTGTGCCTTTAGCTATAAAATAAGGAGGCGAGACCATATCATCTTTAGTGCCTCTTTTACTGTAAAATTATAGCAATCTGTGAGTTGTGGCAAACATACAGAGGGTTCCTGAGTAGCAAAAATACATCAGGTCATAAAGGATTAAGATTTGGGTGAGCTGTAATCTGTTTTTATGACACCCGTGAAGGACTTCATTACTCTCTTTAATTGCCCCTAGCCAAGGTTAATTAAGTGTGTTTAAGTTCTCTCTATTCTTCGCTCAAGAGTTTCTTTCTTTTTCCCTTGCCATTTCTGATCAATAGCTGTCAGCATGCTTTTTGGAGGTCAGCAGCTTCTTTCCTGCACTGGACTGGCAGGTGGCGCTTTTGAAGGACTGCGTACTTTGCCTTCCTTCTGGCTGTGAGGGCCCTCTCAGTTCTTGGCAGGGGGTAGAGAGAGGATCAAGAAACCCAAATGTCTCCCTCTGACTAACATTCATCTTCCTTGTCAAAGAATGGAGAAAGAAGGCGTAATTAAGAAAGTGGTGGCGTTCCTTTTTTGGTGCCAGAAACCTAAGCATTATCACTGTTGTTCTTTCGTGATGTTGCTGTTTACCACTTAGTGGAAATCATTCTTAGGAGGATTCCTCCTGTCAGCCTGTTCCTCTGACTTTGAAAACCACAGGTCTGAAATGGAATTTCTTAACATGTCGAAGGATTTACTGTTGATATGGTCTTCAATTTACCTGGCCTGTCCCCCTGACCCCCCGGCCGCCCTTCCCTGCAAGTTTCTCTTAAGACTGTGATTTATTTTCTTTTGTTTTTTTCATTCTTGAGTTCTTGTTTTCACCTTTAGAAACCTGTTCTATATCATGTGCCTGTCCTCCATGTTGCTGACCTCTGAAGCGATTCCTGGGGTGGGGTGAACACACACTTTGTCGCCTGATAGTTTTGAGAGTATGTCATGTTGTAGGTGGCAGATCAGAAACCGTTTAGAAATTGTAATGCTTTTGAGGACTCTTAAGGGGAGACCATAGATGCCTTGCTGCTTTGGTGTATTCAGCAGCACTGCTAGCATGCCTTCTGTGCTAGGTCCCTAACCAGGGGAGTTAGAGAAGCAAGATGTCCGCCCTGCGGAGCTGGGATTTCTGGGGTGCCTCGTGAACTGGATAGTTGTACCATTCGAATGACTCTGTAGGATACCCTTACTGCGTGTGCGTCGGGATCCTGGCAAAGGGTCTGGAGGCAGAAGGAAGTGCAACAGATGAGAGTTATGTCAGCTGAAATGAAGAAGGAGCAAATGATCCGAAGGCTATTGTGGAGGAGCATTAACCAGGAATATTGTTCATAAATCAAGTCTGGGGCAGCCTGCTTTGGCCCTGTCATGGAAGAGCCAGGATGTTTGGGTCATGGAACATTAGGGAGCACCCCACAGACTAGGGTGGCATAGTTTTGGAATACATGGCTGGACGCCGCCTATTGGGTGACTGCCTTTTGGTTTATTCTGCATTTCATTTCAGGTTTGAGTCCTCCTCCCATGCCATCAGTATGAGTGCCTATTTGCGAGAGCAGAGACGGGAGCTGTACAGTCGCAGTGGAGAACTTCAAGGTAGGTGATTGAACTTCTCTGGAAAAATGAGTTTCTGGAGGAAGATCTGAAGTATTTGGCGCATGTGAATTTGCGGTTTGCCTTCACAGGATTCTCTCAAGATAGCAAAGATTTAAAGACTTGATAATCTGTTTCTTCTGTACTTCCCAGCGTCTGCTGCCAAACAGCTAAAACTATTGCCATGGCCACAGGGTTTATAGACCTGCTACCATTCACATGAGAACTCAGAGCAAAAAGATAGGAGGCCAGTCTCTTCATGCTTACACATGGCAGACACGAGTCCAGTCACAGTCTCGGGGAACGCTAGTCTTCTATGGCTGTCACTGTTACACTTAGTTAGTGCTTTCCATACCTTCTGGAACATAGCAGGAGTATGTGGGATTGGGAAAAGGGCAAACGCAGCCTCTGTCGTTATTTAAAAGGAAGAAAGATGCCTCTAAGTGGGATGTTGTAATCAAGCTAGCTTTGATATACAGGATATTTGATACCCATATGTGGTTACTAAAGAGTTGTAATCTGTAGAAGAAAATACTTGAGAAAATAAATCGTAAGCAAATTTAATTAAACTAAAAATCCAATAACATTTTCTTCTGTGACAAGAAGGATGCTAATCATGGTAAATGCAATCAATTAAGAAAGATTTATGAAGTCCTGCTAAGTGCCTGCCATCATTGGAGGGGATGGAGGTTGAGTAGAAGGAAAGAAAAAGCCTTACGATCCAACTATGAAGGTAAGGCATGAATATCAGTAATGTTATCGGGAAGTCAGTGCTAACAACTAAGAAGATGGTGTGCATGAAAATGCTCAAGGAATTGAGAGAAGGGAGTGATGATTTAAATTATTTTAAAACTGTGGGCTTCCTGTATGAGGGATGCATAAGAACACTTCCATTTTGGGGAGATGCCTTAGAGGCACTTGAAATATTTTTCAGTGAGTAGCCTACACAATTAAATATTTTAGTTTTCAAGATTTATCATGGTTCAAAACATTATGAAGTAACCAGCCTTTCTGATTTAAGGACTACCACCTAGTCATTTCTACCTCCACCTTCATCATTAATCTAAATACCTGTAAATTTTCCCAAAGAAGCTGCTCTGCTCTCTCATGCCTGTATCACAACAATAATTCCACAGCTCACGGGTATAGTTACCAGAATGAAAAGTCTAGCAATATATTTGAGGATATAAGGAAAAGGAAATTAGCCTACCAACATTTTATTTAGTAGTAGTGTTGCTCTACATTGTTGGAAGCATGAAGTATGCATCTTGGAGTCCCAAAGTACATGGGTACAGGGGGTAGTTAGGATTGGAACAAGTCAAGGAGGGAACGCAGAAGGTGACCCAGGCTCTAGCAAGCAGCTGCCTCGTGGTAGTATAGAGTGGACTGAGAAGCTTGGAAGGAAATGGTGGTAACAGAGCACACATTCCCATAGGACTGATCATACCTGAACTGCCACTCAGGGGCTGTTGCTGATCATTTAGGGCTAGAGCGATCCTCCGTACTCAGTATCCTTACTTTAATTGCAGAATCAACTTAAAGAAACTTTAAATTTACCTCCATAATTTCTCTCCATTTGGTTTGTAGTACATGAAATTCCTTTAATTGGGGACAAAGCAAGCCTTTCTTTTTTTCTTTTAGATCATTTCACTTTTTATTCATCAAATACACTTAATTCTTTAGCACCGTTTTAGGCTCACAGCAAAGATGAGTGGAGAAAGGGCAGAGACTTCCTGCATACCCCCTGCTCTGACACATGCACAGCCCCCCTTCATATCAACATCCTCACCACAAGGAAGCCTTTTGTTCGACTCGTAGAGATGAAAAGGTAGACCACATAATTAACAGGACAGCAGTGCAACCTGTCATTCATTCAGCTTTGAGCATAATTAGTCAACCAAGACAGACGACTGGTGGTAGACTCTTTCTTCTTTTTTGTTAGTGAGAATAGCGAGTGCTCTGCACTCTCAGCCATGCAGAATGGCTTTTCCGGCCGTGGCCCTGGTGGTCCACGATCTCTGGAGAGAGCCTGAAAAAAAGCAATGAAGAGGAGATGGTTCTGGGCCCAGATTACAATCTAGCTCCCCATTGACTAGTTTTCTTACCTCTGTGCCTCGGTTTCCTTATCCCTAAATGGAGACAGAAATAATAGTACCCACCCCACCCCACGAGGTTGTTGTGAAAGCCATGTTGAGGTAAGCGATGAGCAGTGTTTAGAGAAGTGTCGACCGAATAGGAAGCGTTATGTCGTCTTCCTTCTCCAGCCCCGTTGTTCTTGCTCAGTCCTAGCACTTCAGCTTTTGTACTCCTTCTCTGTCCCTTTAGCTAAATCCTACTCTGCTTTCCAACTTAAATTTAGTTGTCACTTAGTCTGGTGACTGACTGTTCCCCCCCATTTTCCCTCTCAGATTGTGGCCCCTGCGGTGTTCTCCTACCGCATCTGTAACATTCCCGTTCTGAGCACTTTCCACACTGTGTTGCAGATCAGTGCTCACTTGTTTGAGCCTACCACGAAACTCTAAGTTCAGGAGAGAAATACAATTTTATTTCCTATCATTAGCACAGTGCCTGGTATGGTAAATATTCAATAAATACTGACTGACTCAGCGACAGAACAAATGAGGACAGTTGACATCAAACGTGGGATAGAGGGCTTACCGTGGAGAGATAGGAAGGGCCTCAAAGGGAGATGTGGTCACTGAGAGCCAGTATTGGCTTTGTAGGTTCTATTAGTTTCTAAGTTGGGGAGAAGTAGAGGCTGCGTGTAGATCGGTGTTTGTTCTCTGCAGTCATATGTAGTTTCATTAAGTAGGAATGTTGCCACTGAGCTGTCTGGCCTAGGACAGGACTGCTGTATATAATTGAAAGACATGTGTAAATCCAACTACGTTATGGAGGAGGTTCATTCTGTGAGGGTGGTTAATTGAAGAATCTCTATAATCTAACTAGGAACCTTCTCGTTTTTCGGAAAGTTAATTGAAATATGGAACCAAATGCGATAGTATATTTTACTTACCAGTGTTCAGCAAAATAGGAGGATTTATCTCTGGTTACAGGGAAGAAAGTAGTCAGCAAACCTATCATGTTCATAATACTCATTAAAAAATAATTTAACTGAGCTGACAGATCACATGCATGGTGAGAGAATAGCTCAGCTGATGAGTTTTTGTAAAAGTTTGATGGTATTTCATTGAGGAGCAAAAGTGTCTCTGATGAATGCTTTTAACAGTTCAGCAGGAAAAGGGGAAAATCACACCTATTTTAATACCATTAAAAAACGGCCAGCCTTTTTCAGTTACTCTATTCATCTGACTTGTCCAAGGACCACAGTGAGATCTGCATTTCAGTTTATCCTTGAAAAGGTATAATTGAATAGTTCAGTCAAATCCTAAGAGGCTGGCAGAAGAAGCCACATAGCTGCGGGCTTCGCTTCCCAGTGGTTTGGTTCAGAGGTCAACTTTTCCTTCTGTGGCAAAGAAAATCCACCAGAAAGACCATCAAAGTAACAGTAAAAAGCTCAAATTTTATAAAAGTTAAGTTTCTGCCACATTTTCAATTCATCATGCAATTAAAAACGTTACTCAACCTAACAACACACAAGGGGAAGAAAGAGTGTAAAAATGAGATTTCTTTGGTATCCTCAACCCATCTCAGTTGGCTCCATTCAGGTACTGCTGTTGGCAATTGGGCCGAGGAGGTGGGGGTGCCGTTTCAAAGTGTGCGAGATAACAGGTGGAAATCTAACTTGTGCATCTCCATTAATCAGAGACCTCCTGTTGCTTTGAGCCTCTCCACTGCTTCATTGTACTGCTTAGACGGCTGTGCTACAGGTTAGAAAGATAGTATAGCTAATGAACATTTAGCTTGAATATGACTTCTCAGGTTTAACGTGGGATTCTTTGGGAGGATAAGATAACTGATGAACATGTTATCTCATGAGGGTTTAAAAAAAAACTCAAAATACTGCTGCTCGTGACCAAAATAAGGTCTTAGGTTACTCAGTCCCACTGTGCCATGGTTTTCTCATTTGAAAAATAGAGCTGTTATCAATTCTGACTACTTTAGGGGGGATATTGTGACTATACAATTAGATATTAAAACTCTGGAAAAATTACAATAGCTGTAATTGATTTAAATTAAAATGGTGCTTTAAAAAATTTAACATGGAGGAATTGGGAGAACTGCACCGACTTCATTAGCTCTTGTTTTCTGCCCCCCTCTCCAGTCTCACTGTTCCCCTGAGTTGGCTCCTGTCAGGGTCACCAGCGATCACCATCTTGGCAGATTTAGTGTTTGCTTCCCTGTGTTCATCTCACTTGATCTTCTGGCCAGCCATGTTCCTTTTTTCCTCCACGTGTTAGAGTGTCCCGAGGTTTAGTCCTGGGACCTTACCTGTGCTCACTCTGTAGACTCTCCCCCGATGTCTCAGCTCAGACTTAAGTTTTGCTTAGCACCTAGGTGCAGGTGACTTCCAGATGTACGTCTCCTGCCCAAATCTTGTTATTGTTTCCTGACCTCTTCCAACATCCTGCCCACTCCCCACTGCCATCCTATCATTCTTTATCACATGTTATTTTATTTTCCTCATAATCCTTAATTTCTACATGTCTTTCTCTCTTGGTAATTTTCTACACTTGCCTCTGAATTCCCATAATGCAAGTCTTATTCATTAGTGCATTCCAGTGCCTGGGACAAAGCTTGGCTTGAATTAAGCACTCAAAAAGTATAGGATGGAGGAAGCCTCTATCCTCAGTATCTCCTTATTTGTAGGTACAGGCCTACTTATTTGAGAAAGCCTAGTGGGAAGTTTAACAGAGTAGGAGTCCTGCGATTTGTCTTCTTCATTCATTTTTAAGATAATAAAACTCACGAATGGGAAGAGCACTTAATTGTGATCCAAGCAGAAATGTATACTCAGTTTTGATTACAGTTTCTTTTCTGTCTTGGGGCTACATAGTACTTCTGTTTGTACTCAATAATATTACCTTTAGAGTGCTGTTTTT